ACATTTCTTAGGGGGAAAAATGCCTAGAACTAAACAAAGGGTTCCAATATCTCCTGACCTAAAATTGCAAGACAATGAGCTTGTAGCTCAATGGTTAGGGCATTAACTCTGATAAAAATTTTGCGATTTCGAGCCTCGAATGGTGCATCACCTGCGGCTGACTGAGTATGACTGGCTGATGATGGCTACTTAGCCAGAAATGGCCATTTTAGGCTCCATTGTCTTTGTTGGCATTACTATCTGCCTTTAGTACTCGCTGCTGTCAGGGGTCGAGAAATGGGTCCCAAGGCAAAGACGCAGGGGAAAAGTGAGTTGCGTTAGCGCTCGCTGAATTTTTGTCAAGGAATGTCAACTTCTCCTTTGCTGGCAAATACTACTAACAACTTAAAGGTACCCTTATGCGATCACCAATATCCGGCTTTTCGACGAAGGCAGTAACGCAGAAAGGGAAAGCTTGAGCCCTCACAGTTAATAAAAGAATTTGACTGCGTTACGTAGGCGTTACATTTGTCATCATCAAAAGAGGTCAACTAGAATTACTGAATCAAAACCTTAACTCCGCCTTCCCTAGGAATCCAGTTTACACTCCATACGTCAGTTTATTGTAATGATATATACACTGAGGTCATCTGACATTTTGACTGTAACCACCCAATGTCCCACAAATGCAGCTCTATCAACCATTTTCTAGGTCGTGATAAAACGCGTTGTTCAAATGAGGTAGCATAATTTTTTAAACTGTTTTCCCAAAATGGACATCCTCTGGTCTTTGTTCATCAATGCATACGACTAAAGCAGTTCGGAGCTGCGACCACTAAAGTGCAAATGCCAACGAACTATCGAACTCCCTCAAATGTAAAGACTATATCTGAGCTTGTCGAATAACAGCTAAGAAATCACCAAATACAGAGTGCGCACAAGCCTAGACATACATTGTGCACCAGTTTGTATACCCTAAGAACAGGGTCGGCCATTTCAATAGGGAGGAGATCCTCTAAAAAATACCGTGCACTCGTTGTCATGCAGTATAGTTTGGTCAAACCGGGAAACCTCTATCCACCCATATACCTGAATACAGGTTAGCGGTGGGAAGACGAGATGACCTATCCAAGGTTGCCATGCACACGCTGAACACAGGACACACATTTGGATGGGATAAAACCCAAATCGTTGGTGCCTGCCCAACTAGGTAGAACCGCGAATAGCTGGAGGCCATGCACTCAGACGAGACATGCATTAACAGGCAGATCGATTTAGATGCCAAGTACAAATCTCTCAAGGTGGGATGGAAACGTAAACAGCCACGACCGACCGCATGTGGGTGACGACTATCTACTAACACTCTGGGCCACCATAGAAGGTTGTTTAGCCCCGTTTTGAGTTAACTGTTTTCGCACAATTCTCATTTGTCTGACGATAACCAGGAAACCAGACCCGAAAATTCACAGAATAAACAGCATTCTTTCCCGACAAACTGTACTCTGAATAAATATATATTATAAAATATATACGCAAATTTTCGAGGTCCACATATAATATTGCTTCCATCATCCCTGGAAGAGGAAGGAGAAGATGAGGCAATTCCTGAAACCAAGTTATATTTAGTATGACGTTTCAAAAACGTTTTCATTTTCTTCGTCAGAGCGTACTGTCTAGTCTCCCGCCGGCGTGGCATGAGTGTGTGTTACTGCTAGCCTGGTGCTATAGTCGTGCCTGATGCACGCGCGTCGATCAGTTGCACTGATCGATTGCTGGGGGCTGTTTGAATTATTTTCGCCCTCGCGGGTGCCTCCAGGAGAAGATTTGTCACGTCGTTCGTGTGCCTCAGGCACAGCTATAACATGAAGCTAGAGGTAAGACACATTCATTCGAGGCCGGCAGGAAAATAGACAATATGATCTGACGATTCAATCGAAAATTTTATTTGAAACGTCAGCCTAAAAATAACTGGTCTCTGGAATTGCCCCCTCTTCTTCCACTTCCAGGAATGATGAAAGCAATATTATGAAATATCTATACTACTCAGACGTTGAAAGAATCCTACTTGATATATTCCTGGACAAGTTAGCAGTGACTTACGCGTTGTGTGCATTAATGGCTTCCTCGTTGAACTTTATGTCAACCCCCATCGCTGTCGTGTATGAACTGGTGATCCAGCCGGCAGATTCTTCTTATATTTCCTGCCCAAAATGCTACTCACACGACGACAACTCAGCCAGTGGCGAACACGCGCAAAAACAGGCATTGCTCTTAGCATGGTGTGCTCACATGCAAACCTCCTGACCAATGGGATTGCAGCTATCGACAAGGCTGGTCATTGGTTGCCGGATGGGAACCGATTTTGAAAAAGACGGGAAAGGAGATGTTAGTAACAGGCCCTGTTATGTAAAACATGTAAAAAAGTATTGGTCGGTCGGGAATAAAAAAAGAACAATTGTGATCTACTTGATTAATTAATTGCGACATTTGGAGATGGACTTTTTGTATTCTGGCAATCTTTGATGCCTGCTGGAATACGGAAATATATATTTTTTGAATCTTTAACTTATTTACTGGGTGGTCCAACATGCAATGAAGAATGACACGTGCAACGCGTTTTTTTTAAATACTAAATGAACATGGGCTCCGTTAAAACACGTCAAATATATTTCAAAATAAGAGCTAGTATGTGTTTGCTCTTCACGTTTAAAGTAGGAAACTGCTTAATAAATTCTGGACTAGCAGACAAGTCTTGGATAGTTATATTTCAGATAACCCACCTCACGCAAAGAATAAGTTAACAATCGTCTGGTTAATGAATAGGCCGATAGAGACCAAGAAGGTTCGATCTCTAGGACAACAATTTTATTCGCCTGACGTTTCGACATCCGTCACGAATTCTTCATCAGAAACATGAGCACAACGGAAAAGCAGAAAAGGGTGCCATATGCGCAAGAATTTGCAGTAGAAATAGGATAAAGTCATTACTGCAAACGACTAACGATTATTAACGATAATTTTCCTCTTGTGCTTTGATAGCTTGTTGACCGACATGCGGACTCTGACTTGATAAACGAAGTAATGCATAGATTTTTAATTTTCTCAGAAAATAACATCTAATTCCAGGAAGCACTTCAGAGGTAGAAGATGCGATCACTGGAAAAATAAGTTTATGTGCCTGATGTTTCAGCTTCTGGCTTGAACTGCAGCATCAGATAACCACTCCCCCTTTTATCACCTCGGATGATGGGTTCAAGCCAGAATCTTAACGTCAGGCAGAGTAACTTCGTATTCCAGCGGTTCCACCTTCTGATTCTTAGTCAGTATTATAACTGACGTAATTATTTGTCATACAGGCAGCACACATGCTAACAAAATGACCTGGAGTTCGAGTTTAGCGGTATTCTGCCGCTGCATGGCACAGCTGCGAAGTGTCCGGGTCATCAGTAGATCACCCAGCATTCCCCGTGGGCCTTCTGATGGATACTCCAGTAGCAGCTAGGCCTACACCGAAACTCTAATGTGGCGGCAATTTCCTCTATTACATTGGAGGTGGGTAGCTCCAGCTGACGACGGCTAATAAGCCAGAGAAGGGAGTCCTGGAAGTCCCTGCCTTGACGGTAGAATGTCCTAAAGATACTCCACATTTTCAATTCTCGCTCTTTAGTTGACAGTTTAATTAGTTCATGCCGGTCGGTTAGCCTGGGTGCTAAATTAATGAAAATGGTACTTCCGTCAGTATACAAGTAGGGACAGTGTGTGGATCGATCTTGCACGTAAAAAGTCCCAGTAGCTAGATACAGTTTCTATTGCTTTTGGTAACTGGACGTTTTCGGTAGGATAACCTGGAATCAGTCAAATTACAGCAGTTCAGATAAGGCATACCTAGCACGAGGTTAGCCGGCGCGTTTGGCCTACATTTCCTTTCATTGAGCCTAGATTCTGTGACGAAAAGTTATTGCCTCCGGAAGAAGGATGAGAGACCACGAATTTAATCACTATTAAAGGTTAACTCGATAGAGTTGGCACCGAAAATGTGTGAGTTTTTGTTCTGATGGCGGGAAATGAGCGATAGTAAACCTAGAGAAATAAAAGGTTTAATGATTTTATAAGGTTCCTGGGTAACTTTTTCCAAATTTTAATTACTCTCCCAAAAAAGATCTAACCATGTCTAATTGTGAGTTCCAGGGAAAAAGAAATAAATGACCCTAGTTGGCTGTTGCACAGGAAGGGAGAAAGAGTGATCAAGATACTTAAAAGTGGTAAGGGAATTAAATGTACAATGGCTTATCAATGAAATAATACTGGGTCAGGGTTTGTAAGTCCTCACCAAATATCGACTAGGTTGGTCAGTGGTTGCTGGATGGGAGCTGATTTTGAGAAAGATGGTAAAAGAGAAGTGACTTACAGGCCCCTGTTAATTAAAACGTAAAAAAACTGGTCGGTCGTGGGTCAAAAAATAACAATTATTAACTAGGTGACCACTTTGTTTATTGGCACTCTCTGACACTTGCTAGAATACGCAAAGATATATATATATGTTGTATCGAACTTTGACTTTTACGCAAACCGACGGTTTTTTATGCACACCTCTCTCATTTACTAGGTGGTCCAAAACTTAATGGAGAATGTGACACGCGAAACGCAATTTTTGAAAAAAATACCGAATGAGCATTTGCCCTGTTAAAACACTTCAGATGTACTTCAAAACAATGACCTAGTGTTTATTCTTCACATATAAGTAGATAATTGGTAAATAGATTCTAAGCTAACCAACACGTCTTGTATAGTTTAATTTCAGAGAATCCACCTCACACAAAATGTAGGCTAACAACCATTTGCTGAATGACTAGTGAATATGCCAATGCCAAAAGATTTCGCTACCAAAGTCTGCTAAAACATGCATGGCGTCATTTGGCAGAATTGGCAAGTCTATTTTGGCAACTTAGACTGTTAGATGGCTAGTTTTCGGCATAAGTTCGTTTGGTAAAGAAGGCAATTCACAGATTTTTAAGCTCCCATGAAAATATTATCTTAATCGAAGAAGATGAGACTTTTATACAAATCTTCCAGCTGAAGTTCATCAAGCACTGTGGGATAATCGCATAATATTCACAAACTGCCAAGGGGCTGTCAGTAGTGTAACAGATAGAAGCAAACAGACGAGTTCCAGGCAGCACTTCAGAAACAGGAGATGGGATTGCTGTAAAAATAAGGGTAAACTAAGTTTAAATACTGTACCGCAGATACCCCTAGTCCCAGCATTTTGTCCTACGGAAACGGTAGTTATATGGGTTTTGGGGGTGGGGAAAAAGGATAGACAGTGAAGGAAACTTGTAGAAGAAAGTGTAAAATGGAAAAATGTAGTCAAATTTGTTCCCCGCGGCCGCTGGGAATAAGCTTTTCTGAATGTAAAGTTGTGTGCGGCGCTTCGCGCCGCGCACTTTACTAATCTAATTCCAGAAAGGTAAGTTAAAACTCAGATGAGTTAAAATACACGACCTTCTTATCACCATTTATATTTTTTCGGGATTTTCGAGAAACCTTCATTTTGATAATCGCGTTTCTCCGCAAGATTTCAGACAATTCTTAAATACAATACAATGAAAATGCATATAGCATTTACTAAAGTATATTTCATTGCCTATCCTAATTTCCCACCTAAAAAACCCCTATAACAACCGTTTTCATAGGATAGCATTCTGGGACCAGGGGTATATGAAGTGCACTACTTAAATTACTATTGCCAAAATAGTTTATTTACCCGATGGTTTGGATTCTGGCTTAAACTCCATCATCAGGTAGCCGCTTTCCTGTGGTCACCTCTAATTATGGGTTCTAGCCAGTATCCAAAATGTCAGGCAATTTACCTTCTAGTTCCAGCGATCGCATCATCTACTGTATGAGTCAGTATTATAACTAACGTAAATATTGACCATGCCGGTAACACAAGCACTGATTAAACGTCGCTGCATGACACAGCTGTGAGGAGTTCGGTTCAGCTCCCCAGCGTTCCCTGTGGGCTTTTGGTAGGAACTCCGGTTTTTCACTTACCACTTTTTGACTTGTCAGTATATTAATTACAAGCGTGTCGGTTAGCCCTTTTATCAAGCTACCCAAAAATGGTATTTATGACAGTATACAAGCAAAGACAAGTTAAGTTTACAGTTTAGATCGATCTTACAGTAAAAAAACTCCCAGTGACTAGATGTAGTTTCCTTTGCTTTTGGTAACTGAGAGTATTCGGTAGGAAAAACCGAAGTCCATAAAATAACAGCAGTTTAGATCAGGCAAACTTAGCACGAGTTTAGCGGGTGCGTTCAGTCTTAATTTCCTGTCATTGAGCCTAGCTTATGTACCGCTGAGTTATGGGCTCCGGAAGAAGGATCAGAAACCATGAATTTACTCACTATAAAAAGATGAAACCGATAGAGTTGGCACCGAAAATGTGTGAGGGCTGTTTTCGAATGCAGGAAATGAGCGATAGCACAGATTGCAGATTGTTTTACAATCCTGGGTAACTTTTTCCATATTTCCGTTTATCTCACAGAAAAGAACTGACAATATCTAATTGTGTGTTCCATTGAGAAGAACTATAAAGACCTTACGTTGACTGCTGCGCAGAGAGTGATCGAGATCCTTCAACCCGAATCTGCGCATGTCTCTCACCCTTCTACGGATTCTCGACAGAAACCGAAACGTCAGGAATATAAGTTTATTCTTCCAGTTATCGTATATTCTTCTTCTGAAATACTTTAAAGTGTTAAAGGAATTAAAAGTGAAACGGCTGAAAGCTAACCCAAGAGTAAAAGTCTCTTCGCTTATCGACGAATGCACAAAGGATCAGAGTTTGTAAGTTCTCACTATTCTTTGAACGTCAAATATCGGAAGCCAGATGTTAAAACTCCTTTAGATGCTGACCGGACTCGATATTCTTCCGTTTACTAGCGCGCCAAATAGAAGCAAGCAACATCCAAGGTCAGATCTTGTGCGTGCATTTTATAAATGCGGGTTCTAATCGCGCTAAGTAGAACGATATATGTGTCATCTGGGGTAATCTGCTGGCAATAGTCTAGCTTACTGCGCATCGATTGACGGAGGGTTCAGTTATACTTTTTCGGGGTGCATTACAGCATTTATAAACGTCTTA